TAAAGCGCCCGGTTAGCCACAAGACTGGACACACCTGGCTGCAAACCCAGCAAAAGAAACTTACTTCATTAGAAGGAGAGGCAGAGAGTAAAATTTACATCTGAAATATGCCTGCACCAGGAGAAAGTGCTGAGGCCAAAGGCGCTGTCTGTTTTTACAGCTGTGTCAAGTCTTAGTTCTCTGCTCTTACCAACACTCAAGAGTGAGGCAAAGGCCCAAGGAAAAATGGTCTCCAACCTCTTCAGCTGCAACTCAGCTCACAAAGGTTTTTAAGAACCAGTTAATGAAATAAAACAAGACCAGATGAGGTGATATAATGAACTTTATTTCCACAGCTAATTTATGTTTAAATCCCAAACAATTAAAAAAAAAACACCTCAGAACACTAAATTATTGATGTGATTTTGGTAACCTCAAATTTAACACTTGCTTTTTATATGTTTCACTGATGATATATGAGTCTGCCTTATTTTTCACAATAATTGGTCTCCTAAAAGACTGATAAAAACTGAATTTCTATAAAATGAAAATCCCCCCACTAAATGAAACTGTAGTTCTAATTTCAAAGGTTTTCTTAATTCAAATTTCTGATTGATCATTAAATCACAAGTGGCTCTCTTAGTTCTTGATCTTCCCCACACCAATCCCCTCAAGTAAATTAATGGACTATAAGAATTTCTTGGCATGAGAAAAATCACTCCTACATTGGTCAGTCTTATAAACTCTACTCTTTATATGAGTTTTCTTAAAGATGTACATCTGGGATGCCAAGTAACACAGACAGATTTTCAAATTACCACCTTCAAACGAAGCTCGAAAAGAAATTTGGAAATCATGCAACCCTCCCCACTCTCCCACCTGCCACGTGCTTTTATTTTTTTTAATGAAGAAACTGAAACACATAGGAGGAAAAACTTGCCAGCCAGGGTGAGAACCAGGCCAGAGACTGGCACCCTCATGCCACACTTTTCTCACTTGTCTCTAGGGACATGCCACATGTCCCTAATTTTCCTGTTTCTTTTTTCTTTAGCGTGTACACACAGAAGACTAAAACCTCCTCTATACACACAATCACACAATCATACAACTCAGAAGTGGCTAGTATATAATTTTCTTTCCTATATGAAGAGTAGCTACACCAAGAAATTGGAAAAGGAGGAATAAAGTTATTTAAGAGAAAAACAATGTCACAATTCCCCACCTCTCCAAATCTCTATTATTTTAAAATTACCATCTTTTACGTAGTCCTTGACATTTCTCCTCATGAAAACAAATTTAAAGGTCTGTACCTGAGAAGCATTATGGATCATCTAAAATGTTGCTATTCAGAGTATGCATGGCCCTCTCCTATTCTTCCCCATCAGTGGCATTTGGGGTCAGCAAAAAGTTTTTTAGAAATGTAGGTGCTCTGGCTTCACCACAAACTTACTGAATCTGAATATATATTTAACCATCTTCTTAGGTAAACTGTAGGCACATTAATAAAACAATGATCTAACACTTTCCTACACAACAAATCCTATCTAGGACAATCCAGTTAGAAAAAATAGCAGAAAAAATGAAGGGAAAGGTAGATTAATTCCTTCAGAACCACACTGGTCTCTGACCTCTGAACCAGGGACTAAAATCAAATATTATTTATCTGGTAAATAAGTTGACTTAAAACAGAATTCCAGAGACTGAAATTCATTTTATTCATTCATTCCACAAGTTACTTATTTGTCAGTGTTTATTGTATAAGCCACAAAGTTATGGATAAACATCTTTCTGGTTTTATAAAACATGCAGTCAAGTAGACGGGACATTATAAAGTAATACAGGAGAGGGTCGAAATATTGAATATATAATGGAGATATATAGAGAGGTCCAAAAAGGAACTTCATTTGGGCAAATTAAAGGTTCTCATGATCTGGTAGTCAGAAACCTGTGGCTCACTAAGCTATTCAGGTTGGGGATAGCTGTGGCTCTAATGGTCCAAATTCCATAGAGTTTAGTCAACAGGGATAAGACAAACAAGCTAACTCACCAAAGAGGTACTGAGCATGGTAGTAAGCCAAGGCTTTGGCTGTCTGGGGGTACCTCTAGGTCATCATTAAACGGGATGATCTGAGATTGCCAGCACCAGCTTATTTATGTCCACTATATGCTGCCACAGGGTTGGGGAGTATATAACGTACTTGAGGGCATGTGGAACAAAAAACCGGATGAATAGTTTAAAGTTGTTGATCCCACTGTGGGCAACTAAGAGAGCAAAGACACGATAGTGGGAAAAAGGAACCAAGAACACAATTACAAATACTGGCTCTTTAAAAACATATGCTCCCCCATGTTTATTGCTGCTTTATGTACAATAGGAAAGACATGGATTCAACCCAAATGCCCAAAAGATGATGACTGGATTAAAAAGATTGTGTATAAAACATATACACAATGGAATATTACTCAGCAATAAAAAAAAGATAAACACATGCCTATTACAGTAACATGGATGAAGCTGGAAGGGATCATGCTTGGTGAAATAAGCCAGAAAGAAAGGAAAAATACCGGATGATTTCGCTCATAGCAGGAGTATAAAGGACCAGGGGAGAAAATAATAATAATAATGAACAACTATATACCAGAGACATTTTACGGGGGTGAAGTGGGGAATGGGATCAAAATTTGGGGGAGGGGTGCACTGGACTATGGTGATGGCACACGGGTGATTTGGTGATGGGAAGCCCACGGGGATTACAACTGAGATGGAAAAAGGCATAAAATGATGTAAAAATAAACTATTATATATATTTAAAAAATGCTAGTATTGTTAGTAGCAACTAGGATTTTGATAGATGTTATCACCATCATCTTAGAATGACAGAAATGCCAAACCAGTTGTCCCAGAAAAAGAAAGGCAGGTAAAATGTTAGCAAAAAGACCTAAAGGTGAATACATGTCCACTGTGCATCCATATATGCAGTTCTCCCAAAGACTTGAAAATACCCTTAACCCAGACTCTCAGTAGGCAACCAGTATGTCCACCACTTAGTCACAATGACTATAGACACGTTAGAAAATAACAAAGGAGAGTGAAAATAATTTTAATAAGTAAAAGTAAAACTTGGGCAAAGATTCTTCATGAAGCATGAAAAGACATGTTGGAAGTCTTAAAGTTGAGAGAGAGGGGAAAAAAGTATATTTATGTAAAGTATATTGTACACTAATATACACCAAACAAACCAATACCACCTATTTTCTACAGCTAACAGAGAAAGTCTTTTTTTTTAAATAATTTATTTGTGTGTGTGTGTGTGTATATATATATATTACATCATTGTTCATCTTTTTACAATGTTTGCTTTCATTTCTTAGGTGTAGTCCCCACAGAATTTCCACCACCACTTCACCAGTGTACCATCACCATAGTCCCTTGGGCTCTTTCCACCCTCGTTCTGATCTGCATACGGGATTCCCAGCAGAATGTCTCTGATTTATAGTTGTCTAACAGGGAAAATCTTAAAAGACAAACACTAAAGTGGAAAGAGAGATTACATCTTGAAAAGGGGAAATGGGCCAGGATTGAGATTGATTAAGGAATTTCAATATTAACTAAAATTTTCTTAATTTAAAAAAATTGTAAAAACCTGTTATATATATATTAAGTTAAAAAAAGCCAAGATGCAAAATAGTGTAATATATAAAAACCCAGTTGTGTTATGTTAAAAGAACATACATTTATAGCTCTTTTTTGACCCACCCTATATATTCACATTTCTATAAAAATAACTGGAAGGAAACATCAACTTTTTTTAGAATACAGCTTATACCTTCAATTCTACAACTTTTATCAGAAATCAAAAGTAAATACAGAAACATGAACATTCACTGGCCCATACACCTTTCTACTTCTTTATCTGTTATTTTTACCCCAGCACCATCCCTTATAGTCCCTCTCCCTATCCTTCCCACCTACCTCTTAACCTCATGGCCCTCAGTGTTTACCAATGGCCACTGAATTTTTTGAAGTGTTTTACTTGTCAAACTGTCTACTATATAAATGTCCAGTATTTGTTTTTATCCTTGTGAGCTGCTTTACTACACCTGATTCTTTCAAATTCCCCTCTATTTTGAGAAACATATTAACTGTTGGCAGTGATTACTTCTGGGGAGTTGGACTGGGGAGAAGACACTTTTATCTTCTCACGATAAATGCTTTTTGATTTTTTTTTTATATAAGAGTGAGTATGATTTTTACAGCCCATTTATATCCTTGTTTAATTCTCTGTCCATGTGGGAGAATTTTACTTTGTAATGAGAAAAACCAAATTAACCCATTTTGTACCCCATTCTAGTCGTTCTCATTTAAATACTCCCAAAATAAAGCACAACAAAATGGGAAAAGACAAGAAACTCTTATTTTCTATAACATAAAATATACAATGTATACAAAGGAAGAGATTACTTAGATAACTTACTTTATTTTAATGTATTGGTTTCAATTTTCTATTGTCATCAATTTCTGTTATCGTATACTATATATTCACCTTTCTCAGGTTAACTATTAAAGTTCTAGTACATTTTCAGTGGGCACCTTGCCAAAGTATTCTAGGTATAAGTGATCAAGGAGCTTGTTTTCAGTTTCTGAGGATACTTTCATGCAAAGTAGTTTAGAAAAAGCTGATACAAACAGAGTTGTGTAGTGTCCTTAAACTGGATTACTACTATTTGATTTCCTCTACTTAATAAATCCACTCCTATCACCATGATTTGATCTTTATAATACCATCTCCATACACAGGATGACTTAATACTAACAAACCACGATAATGTTAAGCAAAGTGTCTATGGCATGTCAGTTTTCATACAGAAAAAAGTGACTAGCTAAATAACCTTCTATTATTAGAAGGCATTTCACAAAAAAACTGAAAGCAAGCCCACTAGAAGAGATAAAACTCCAACTCAAATCATGCAATTCCTCATTGGCATTTTTAAGGATTGAAATCAGATTAACACCCACTTACCCCCATGACTCTGCCACGCTGCTCAACATCCTCCCACATAAAATGAACTATGATACGACACATGTATTTCCCACTCCGGCCTTCCTGTTTCATTCGGACTAGACACATCCTAGATGGGAAAAAGACAGAGAGTCACTGACTGCATTTCTCATATCACATATTTCTACTGAAGGTTGGCTCATCTGATTGATTTTAGCAGGATGCACATAATCAAAAAAACAAATACTGAAAACAAAACAAATATTTAAAACAAAAACAAAAACTTTTGTTGAGATATAACATAAATACTGTGAGGAACTTAGAATGTGTGTACAGATTGATGAATTTTTACCTAATATCTACTCCAATGTAAGTACCACAGAGATCAACTTATGAATTATTTAGAGCACCACAGAAGGCTTCCTCATATAGAAGGGACTATACTCGGTTGTTAGATGATAAGCAAGTCTGAATCCTTCATATTACTGATAAAAAGAGAAATACTAAAGAGTGACCATAATTTACTCAACATCACAGAGTGGAGTCTGTAAAGGTGGGTATTTTGCTGTGCTGTACAATACAGAAAGCACCATCTATGTGGGGCTATTGAGCACTTTAAATGCAGCTAGCTCAAACTGAAACAGTCTATCAGATTTCAAAGATTAACTTCAAGAAAAACAAATATAAACATCTCAATTTTTCAATATTGCTTACCTGTTTAAATATTTGAGATGTGCTAATAAATCCTATTAACAAAATTAACATTTTATTAAAAATATAGCTACTAAAAGCTATTTAAATATATGATTTGTATCTTTCTGTTACACCTGACCAAAACATAGATTACAGAAAGTATTATGAATTCATTTGTACAATTATCAAAATTGTTTGTTTCTCCCATT